CCGCGGGTTTTTTTTTTTTTTTTTTTTGCTTGGGGCGGCAAAAAGCCAGAGCCGGCCCTGAGTGGAACTATACCAATTTACACCAGGCGAGGATCTGGTGCATTAGATCAGAGAGCAGAATGAAACCATACCACAGAACAGCAGTAAGAACACTCACATAACAGAATAGATGTCCTCACCAATCTCTGAGAGTAACAGGCATCACACACCATCTGGTGGAACTTAGAACCCCAACACATGCGTCTGCCATCACACAGCAGTAACAGCACTGAGGCTGGCCGTTAATTTTGCTCTTAATTAAAGCACATGCATACTCCTTCTCTTTAATTCCAGCCGCCCCCACCCCTGAATTATTATTATTATTATGCACAGCACAGTCCTAGAACTGACAGGGATGTTTGTTAAACATAATTAAAGATATTAATTTTGCATGGAACAGAAGCCACAGAGCCAAGAACTATACTTTCCCCCCCTCAAATCTCCCATTAGAAAATTACCTTCATTAGCACCGACTCGCTGAGCTTCTCTCTGTTGACAATTTTTATCGCGACCTTTTGACATGTTACACAGTGAACCCCCAACTTCACAAGCCCTGCAGGAGAAACAGAGAGATAGAGAGAGAAAGATGGTTAGAGACATCCCCCGTTAAGCTCTTTGCTGTTAGCATCTTACATGGCAGTTTGGCTATTTATATGCAAATGTTTTTCCATTAGTCCTTCTTACTCCCAGGGAAAAAAAGCCTGTGAATAATGAATAAACTGTAGAAGATCCGGCAGCACTAGGAGTTAACCCACGTCTACACTAGGAACGCTTTGAGAGTATAGCTATATTGGTATACTATACTGGCAAAGCACTTCTAATGCAGACGTAGCTTATACCAGTAAAACTGAGCTTTTGCCAGAATTGCTTATTCCAGCCCCCACTAAGAGAAATGATCTATACTGGCTCAAGAGCAGTTCTTCCCATATAACTAGGTCTACAGAGGGGGCTTTTGCCAGCACAGCTATATCGGTCGGGGATCATACCTCTTCACTCCACTGATTAACGTAGCTGTGCTGGCAAAATTCCATAGTGCAGACTTGGCCTAAGATGACTTCCAGGTTCTCCCAGTGCTGCCACAATTAATGGGGCTGTCATCTTTCTATTTCAGTCTCTCCT